CTAATATATAATAACAATTTTTTCATATCGAATGTCAACAGGGGAAGTGTTTTCCTCAGAAAATTTTAGATTTTCATCTCGTTTCTAATTATGACTCAAGTAAATATTAAAGTAAATATCAATAATCTTATTTTCTTCCGGAAATAATTAATCGACAAAATTTAATCGATCATTACATACTATTGTTTTGTCTATAAAAATTAAATTTGTTAAAAATTTAATAAAACGAATTGTTTTTATGTTTAAATATTATGTAAAAACCAGTATAATCCCGCAGTAAACTTTACTGACCATAGTTTGACTTTCAACCACGATTATATAACGTCAGGGTGCCAAGGAAAAAATGGTATACTTGTATATTTAAGACATTGTTCCCTTATACAATCATGATTGAACATAGAAAGAAAGTCAAACGAAGCCACAATATTAACTCGACGGTTAAACTGCAAAACCTCGTAAGTCAGTTTTATGTAACTTTACAGGAGAGACGAAAAACGTTTTGGCTTCTTGACTTAACATTCAGTTTTCTCGTTTTTTGAGTGTAGGGTTCTTTTGAGGTAACGATTACATTACTCTTAAGTAAAATTAAGTAACATTGTTTTTTTTGTCAAAAAGCCACTTACGAGGTTTTGCAACTTAAAATCTTAAACTGTCAGTAAACTTACGAGGTTTTGTCTCAAAAGAACCACTTACGAGGTTAAAAAAAGCAATAAATTAAATTATTTTTAGTTAATTTATTACATTACATCACCTATGGTATAAAACTTATAAAATATTCTTAAAAACGAGTAGTGACAACTAATCTTTATACTTAAAAAGTAAAAAAATCAAAACCAAAATAGCCGTAGTTTATAAAACTTGCTAATATTCACTATTAAATTAAATTATGTCCATAAGAATAAAAAAAATAAAAAATAAAAATTGTGATAATTTATAACTGGCTAATATCCTCTATTTACTCATGAGCAAGAGACTCATAAAAATGCCGAAAATCTTTAGGAATAAAGTTTTTCATATCCTTCTTCTTCTTCTAGTTCCATGACCGTTATCGATCGTTGGATATCATGTTGGCTACCATATTCGCTATCGTGACTTTATTGACAGCAGCTCTAAATAACGATGTAGTCGATTTTCCATACCATTGCCTTAGATTTTTCAGCCATGATGTTCTTCTTCTACCAGGACCACGATTACCTTGGATCTTTCCCTGAATGATCAATCATATCCTGCAAATCATTAAATTTAGAAAGTGTTATTTTTGGTGCAGTAGGGTATGATAATGGCGGAGCATTATTTGCTTTTTCTTTGTTGGGTCGTTGCGGTAGTAGTTTCCAGTCATCTTCGTAATACAATTTGTACTCTATAAGACCATTCGGACGATGTGCTAGACACCTTAAATTTGTGACTGTAGGATCACCTTTTTTCTTACCTGGACGAATTGAGGGATATGTTTCAATCTGGGAATAATCTTTAAAGAAAAGATGATCTAGGTAATGAACATCATAAGGATGCTGTAATTTTGCATTTTTACAAATTTGAACATAACAGCTAGGTACATAAATGTGCCTATTTTTCAGCTGACGCTCGATGCAGGCGTGCATCGAGTCGCACTCCATTTGAGTATGTCCTTTTTCCAAATAGTTTTGGTAAATTTGAATATTTTTTGCTGCTGCAAAATTGGATAAAGTACTACTCAAAGTTGAATTCCTGTTTTGGTAATTGCAGCCATCAGAAAAAAAATAACTTCTTTTGTTTCTTCTGTTACATACTTTTCAATCTGGTGAATGACAATTGATGTGAAATCAGAAGCTTTTATATTTCCGGCTCCCTCATGCCAGATGTAACAGTCACCCTTATTTGATGCTAGATTAAAAAAGCACAAGTTGTGAACATTAAGTTTCTTTTTATAGTACGAAACAGATACTTGCAATTTTGGCGCACTTAAAACCGTTTGTAAATCCATAGTGAACAACAATTTAGTTGAATCGTTTTTAGTGGACTGTTTTAATTTTTCCTTTTCTTGGCGAGCAGCATTTTTTCTAATAATATGTAACTGATAATCTTCATTATTTACAGTCCCAACAGTGTTACTAGTGCAGATGTCACACTGTCCTAAAAAAAATTGATTTATTGGAGGCAATAAAATAACAATAAGTAAACACTTACTTTGGCCTAAACAGAGACAAATTTTGGTCCTCAAATTGTCTTCTAAAATACGTGTGACGGAGCATGTTCGTTAGTTGATCGACATTCATTAGTGTAACATCTATATAATTCGTTTATATTTTGCCACATCGGTTCTAAATACAATTTAGATGTTTCTTTACAGCAATAGTGGCTTTCAAGTTTGGGCAACTTTTGAAAAAAGTTAATTAGGAACTTTTTCTTTTCCGTTGGCTCGGATTTACAATTAGTATTCAATTGCTCAATATTTTGGGTTTGAGTTACGTTTACCCAACTTGCTACACTCTACTCCCCTACACATAGTGTCTCTAAAAACATTTTTTTGCATACCCGAAGTCGTATACTATTCTTTTTTAAATGAAAACATAAGGTACCTTTCCGCTGTTTCTCAATGGCTTCTAAAATCAAATTTATTTTAGTAAACCTATTATAGAGTTTAAAATATTATTAGTTACCTGTTTTGCCTAGTTTAATTGGTGCTGTATCAACAAGGCCTTTTACAAACATTTTTTTCTCGTCCCAATTCAACTGCCAAAAGTTATTGAATAACTGTAACCTATCTTCTTGACTAAATGTTCTGCAAAAGAGTTTTGATGATTTTAAAGACAATTTGCATTCACAAGCTGGACCCATTTGTCTTTGATTTCTTTTAACGGTTACGTACTTTTTAGTAGTTTTTTCGTACATTTTGGAATCATATTTCTCACCTCGCATTCTTTTTATTCTGTTGTTAGAGCGACCCCATTTTTCTTTGTGTACATTCCATTTTTTTTGCCCCTTTCTTTTTGGTTTGATTTTTATTGTCAGTTTCAGCTTCATTGGTAAATTGGTCACTTTCATCAGTGTCATCGGTAGACACTATATATTCAGATCCACTGTCTTCAAATGGTTCCGTTTCTTCAGAATTTAAATTTATAACATCATCATTACTGTTATTTAAACTCTGAGATAAAGATTTTAAATCATGGGTTTTATCTGCATAATTATTATCACTAAGTGATGCCTGACCATCTTTTATACTAAAAAGATAACCTCGCTTTATTGATTACGAACAAATTACCTTATTATTACATTAAATGCATCTGCATCATTATTAAATTAATCTGCACTGTTTGTTTTTATTAAGCTTAAGATATATTTTCCTCTTGAATTCATTATCAAAATTATGTAATACCAATAGATATTATCTTCTCAAAATCTCATTAACACAACAACAAAATTGACAACCACCACTCAAGTAATGAAATAGTTTCTGGAAGTCCCACAAAATTAAACTCCAAAACCACGCAAGTCGAACTTAAGAGTTTTCTGCTAACAGTTAGTTTTACGAGGTTTTTGTAGATGTCGCTAGTACCATCAAATTTAAATATTGACTTACAAGATTTTGTAGTTTAAAAGATATGGAAAAATATAAACCAAAAAAGTATAAAAGTCATAATTGACCAAAAATCGACTTACGAGGTTTTGCAGTTTAACCGTCGAACTACTGGGAGGGGCCGCCTTGCTAACAAAACCACGTGATTCGTTACTATGGTTACTGCATAACTCACAGACAATTGGAATAACCACAAAACTAGTTTTCAATGTTTTGCAGATTTTTCTTAAATTCGGCAAACGCGCATCTATCGCTATTTAATACATCAGTGCTGCCTTCTACTAAATGACACGTGAACTTATTTTCTCATCTGTTAAGTGATAGCTGAACTAATTTCTCACTATCAAAATGCCAACTTATTACGGTAACATCAACAAAATCCCTAGTTTGCAGCTTTTAATTGTAATTTTATCTTTAGGTACAGTTAATTTAAAAATTACAGCAGTATGGATAACAAACATTTGCTTAAAATAAAGGTTTTTGGATAGTTAATCATTTAACGTAGTTATTTTGCACCTAAGTTCAATAATTATTTCACAATACCAATTTTTAGGCACGTTACCACGTAAGTTATGACATGGATGCATTTAAGTACAGTTATGAAAAAAATACTGCTGTTTTTGAAAATGTTAACTAGATATCATTAAAATAGAAAGTTTACAGTTTACGTACATAATCATAACTTGAAGATCTGTTTTGAAATAGTGACGATAACTGTACCTAAAAGTATATAAATTTTAACATTGTGACATACTACCTTAACTTCAAAGGTAAATGAACCTCAACGCAACACGATACAAAAATTAAAAAATGATATGGAATGATCCAATTATCCAATCCAAAAATTAGAATTTGTGAAACTTCAGATCAAATAATACGATAGCGCAATTTCAACTTACATTGCAGAAGACTGCCGACCGAGAGCGAAGAATACCGATTCTCCCGATCGTATATTATATTTTAAGTTCCAGTACTTGGCAACACTGTCGCTGTTCAGATAATTAAATTTCGAGAAAATCAAAATATTAAAATATGGTGCACGTACTGCCATCTATTCAAGAAATTGTTAAACGTTAGTTTATTTGAACACCACTCATTTTAACTGCGGCGTGAACATACCCCCTTAAAACGCAAAATAATAAAATTAAATAAAATAAATCAGTCAACAGAACCTCAAAATGTGACGTACTTGATTTTAATTATATATTTGATTACAATCAAGTTTTGATTAGGATTCGAATAACCGGCCCTAAGTGTAGGTGTAGAATTCTATCTGATTCTATCTTATTATTTATTTGTCTATTTCGAACGAAGTTTGCAATGTTCACACTAAATTTATGCAACCAGTTTAACTTGGTGTTTCTTTTTGTCAAGTTCAGCAATCAGCAGCTCTGAAAATATGACTATGACAGATGACATGACAAAAAGGTAATAAATAACCAAATAACATTTGCATTTGATTTTATTTACATTGAAAAGGAACAGGCATGTACATTTTTTATTAATTCCAAACTCACTTTGATGTGGCTGTGATAAAAAATCTGTGAGAATTTCAATATTAGCACGGTAGTATTGTATTGTGCAACAAAAAAAATTCCTTACCAAATTAATGTTAAATAACATTAAAAATAAATTGTTCTGTGAAGTCTAAGAGTTGGCCAAAATGTTAGCCCATCAAATAGAAAACGATTCGAGAACCAAGGATGTAGTGGTTGTAGAAAATGTAACATTTGACTCTTTATTATTGTCTGAAAAAGTATCCAAAGGGTTAACAAAAAATGGTTTTAAAAAGCCTTCACCAGTTCAGTTGAAGTCCATTCCACTTGGAAGATGTGGATTCGGTAAGACATATAATTTATTAATTAGTTATTAAGTAGATGTTTGCAAGCAAAAATTAACCTGTATTTGTTATTACCATTAATATTCTTTCAATATCCTAGTGGTCTGTGGGACTTGATCTCATTTTTAACAGTAAATTTTGCTCCAATTAGAATTGCACAACAAGAAGGATGGTCATATTGATAATTTTATTCTGTCCAAAGTGCTGAAAGTATTAACTCATATGCAACTGGGATTAATATGAAGGCATTTTATTCGAAAACTTTCTGTGGAAATGATTTGTCCACATTTCCTGCTGGTTTTACAATTGTGAAGGCTTCGTCAACTACTGAAGATTGATGTGAGGGAAATATATGATTTAGAAATTACAGTGGGTGACGGGTGTTGAAGCACAAAGATTACCTGAGAGCTGGGTGATTACAGTGATATCAAGAAGAAAAGAACTGGATATTTTGCCAGTATTTCAAAGAGGATAAGACAAGTGTTAAGAGAATGTAATTTTTTGAAGCCAGCGATTCCAGAATTTGGGAACCCTGTATTATAAGAGTTCTTAAAAATCTTGTATTTAATGGGAGTCAACAACAATTTTGATTAAAAACATGTTTATTTTGACATTTTGATTTGCAATTCAGAAATTATTCTCATAATACAGATTAAACAAATTATTTTGTTTTGATACTTTTAATTAGGTAACTTGAGATTTTTTTGGAGAGCTTTTGATAGTATTTTTGATTTTTCCATATTCACATGTTTTTTATTTGACTAGAATTTCTTAGTTTTTCCTTGGTGTTATTCTTTAGGCAGTGGTGTTTTTAGCTTTTTAATTTAATTTTACTTTAATTTGTTCATTGATGGTATCATGATAACATGAAAATTGTTACCTTTTACTGAAATTTTATGTTTTAGATTTAATTGTGAAGTCTAAGTCAGGTACAGGAAAAACATTGGTTTTTTCATTGATTGCCTTAGAATCTCTTAGTACACACCTAAAAAAACTGGAAGTTTTGATCTTGTCTCCAACAAGGGAGATAGCAGTCCAAAGTCAGGATTTTATCAAACAAATAGGGTGCTTCTTTGAAGGTAAGATTGATATATGGTTTGATTAGTTGTATAGAATTGAAAACTTGACATAAATTTGACTACAAGAAATGAAATTGATTTTCAGTTATATTTGCTTTGCTTTGCAATCCAGCCAATTGACCAGAACTACCATTCCTGTTGCATATGTGTCATAGCTTGTTCAAAAATATTGTTTTGAACAAACAAATACATTTTCTAAAAATAGAAATTAAAGTTAAGTAATAGTATGTCTTGTCCACCACTCAATTGGGTTTTAATTTTATCAATAAATCAGCATTTCCAAGTAAACTTCAAGTTCGTGGAGTATGTTGGCTTTTGAACCACTCGTAGAGGATGTAGATGTTAAAGTTTATACAAAGTAATCGTAACACTTCCACAGTGTGAGAGATTAATTTGATGGAGAATCGTTTTTTTTTTCTCTTATTTATCTTTGCTGTTTTTTGCCTATAGGTTAAAGGTATTTTATTCTTATCTTCGCTAATAATAACTGTGCTACCCCTATCATCTACTTGTGTTTTAGATTCAGACTTAATAATATTGATTTTATCAATTTCTGTGATTTTTCCCACAAATTTGTTTTTGATAACTTCAACACCAGTATTACTTAAAAAAAAATGTTTTATATCTGGTATCTAACATAGTGATATCTTCACTGGATAGACTTATCACAAAACCTTTTGTTGATTGAAATAAGGAGACTTTCTTGCATAGTTTCAACACCATGTAACTGTTCTATTTTATTGGATAAAAGATATCGCCTTAAAACAGCAATTGTTGGAATCACTTCTGAAATAGCTGAGTCCATGCTAGTCATCAGTTTCATTATCTCTTCAAAAGGTCTAAGTAATTCAAGGACAGATTGCAGTGGGTCCCACTGATTACTGCTTAAATGATTTATACTTAACCCTATTTTCAGTAAGATAAATAACAAATTAAGAAGCCTTTCTAACATGTAGAAAGTGGAGTTCCACTGTGTTTGTACATCGTAAATATTTTTTCTGGTCCATATTCCACTCTTGTTCTGCTTATTTGCATGCTAAAGTTCAGTGATTGAAGTCAGTTGCAGTTTGACATGGAGTACTTATCATATATGACAAGGTTTTTTAAGAATTTATACTGTCATTTATATTATTTGCAGTTTGTCTAAAAAACACCACCCACTGTTTATATCTGCATATTTACAGTCTTTTATTATTATCATATTAGCTTCGCTGTCCATTATTAACACTAAATGATTTTTTTGTTTCTCAATGATCCAGCTGTTTGTCAAGTTTGTCTAGTATGACTTTCTGTAAATGTATTATAACACAAAATATCATTGCAGTTTTCCCAGATTTCTGAAATCTTCTAGTGACCTGTCAAACTAATAAAACTTTCATTCATCTAACCCTATTGTAAATATAAGGGATTATTTTTTCACTTATACATAACATATTTTCTAGATGGTGTTTTATATTGAGTAACAATAGTATTTAGCAGTCTCTTAAACCCAGAATTGTGTACCAAGGGAAACAGTTGATTATCAATACAAATCATTTTCATAATTTTATAATGAATTTTCTCAGCATATAGCTCAGCTATATAACATGATCTAGCTGGAATTCCAGAGTCCAATCCAGTTAGCGGTAGAAATTCCTCTCTGGTAGCAGTAGAAATTCCTGTCTGGTTAGCGGTAGGAATTCCGATTCTGGCTGAATTGACCAGATACCCGATTTGGTATATCAGTAGTATTATGTTTTAAATAAACTGATATTATACTTTATAATCAACAAAATTTAACAGTTGAAATATGTCTTTACTAAACTATCTTCGAGTAAGGATATCCCTTTTGGACTAAGTTGTATGTTTAATGTGTTCCAGTCTAATTGTAATTAATTTTCATTTCAAAAGAATATTGTGACATGGTATATAGACAAATAATCTCACCTTAAACAGGCATCTATTTTAATGGTCTCTAGGTGTGTTGTAGAGTAGAGTAAATTTTTATTTGCATAAATTTTTAAACATAATTGAGCAAATAACATCACATTATTAATTACAGATTAAAAAATATTTATATTGACATCACACATTTAAAATATATTCACATTACAAATTAAATATGCTGATCAAGGAGAAGGATAGGCCAGGCACTCCGCTACAGTATAGGGCTCAATGTCAACTAGGTGTTGAAAAACCTTTCTTTTAAAAGCTCTATAGTGTGTTTCCTGTCAGATGGTAGACTATTACAAAATTTAACACGCATACAAAGGAGTTCTCTGTTATAGACAATCTGTAAAGTGGCAAATTCAAATTAAGGCTTCTTGTATTATATTCATGATTGGGAAACAGGTGATAAAACAAAGAAAATTTTTTAAAAAGGAACATAATACATTCAAATATATAGATGGCTGAGAAAGTGAGTATATTGAGTGATTTGAATCAGCCTCTACAAGATTCTCCCGCCTTTAGTCCTAAGATCACCTGGAGGACTGCTTTTTTTTGGACTATAAAGACAGTTGAGCTATCTACTGCAGCACCCCAGAAGACTACTCCATATCACATAACAGAATAAAAGTTTGCATAATATACTGATAGTAAAATCCCCTGGTCTAGATAGCTCTTTAACACTCCTAATGAATAGCAGGCTCTATTCAGTTTTTTATTGTGTTTTGTATTTGTTCCTCCCAATTCAGATTTTGATCAATATGAATACCAAGAAATTCAACTGATCTATCAGGTTCTGTGTTTTGTGATTGTGAAAATGTGAACATGTGAACAAATGTGAAAATTCATTGTATCTGGAAACTGTCCTTGTGACTGGCTGGTTCTAAAGTAGACAAAAACTGTCTTATCAGTATTAAGCAACAATCGATTTCCACTGAACCACTGTTTAGCCTTGCTTAGAATTTGCTCTGTCGTGAGGAGTGTTTCTAAAGTTTTTTCCAAGAAAAGCACATTTGAGTCATCAGCGAAATTTACAAGGTTTGAGGAACTACTAATCACCGAATTTGGAAGGTCGTTTATGTAGACCAAAAAGAGTAAAGGCCCCAGAACACTCCCCTGTGGTATACCTAATTTTAAATTGATCGGTTCAGAGTAAATCTTACATCCCCTTTTCTCCAGGCATACCTTTTGCGACCTATCTGTGAGAAATGATTTTATCCATTTTGTATGCCAGACTATTATCTATGCTATCAAAAGCCTTAGATAGGTCCAAAAAAGCACCCAGGGTTTTCATCTTTGCCTCCTTCTTCTTCTTAACGTGCCCTATCAAGTCCCCTTGACGTTGGCGATTAACATGGCTATACTGTCTCTGTCTCGAGCTATTCTAAAGAGTTGCTCAGCTTTTGCTCTTTGCCTTCAGTTTTTTTAAAATCTTTGATATAAAATCATAGGTAGCTGTCTCAACAGATCTCCCTGCGAGAAAACCATGCTGTGAACTACTAAATAAGTTGTTTGTAGCAAAAAAGTTTTGTAGTCTAAAATATATTGCTTTTTCAAATCTTTTTGGGAATGATGGAAGAAGGCTTATTGGTCTATAGTTCTTTATTTTAGTAATATTACCTTTTTTATGTAGTAGCTTGATTTTTGAATTTTGAGGAAATTCTGATGAAACATATTTAATTAAGTTGGTTGATATTTCATCATGATCAGAGCTATGCTTGTTTTTTAAGTTATTTATTATGTGACTTATTTCTTTCTCTGAAATGGAAGTTAAAAATATGCTTTTTAAGGCATTATTCTTAATCTCTTTTACCAATTGCCAAGCCATTTTAGTTTTATTTTCGCTATTTTTAATTCGTTCTTTATAACAAATTTTTCGAGATTGAGTGAGTTGTATTTGCGTTTTTCTGTCCTGTAAATATCCTTATAATCAACATTATTGGTAGACAGTGTAAACAAAACATCAAGCCTAGATTTACAACGTTTTATATCATTATTTTTAAAGTACTTACTTTGTGATTTTTTTTATTTGCTGTATTTATCCCTTTGAGTGGAAAACATTCTATAAAAATTTTCTGAACTATACTTATAAAAGCATCCCACTGATTATCTACTTCTAATGTCTCAAAAACAGATACCCAGTCTACATTACCTAACATGAATTTAAAAAAACTTTTATTCTCCTTGCTAAATATTCGTTTTTTTTTTATTATATTTGACTGAAATTCATTTAATTCAAATTTTACCCTTTGAGCAGTATGATCAGATGTATGAGGATTGAATACAAGAGAATCAAATATGTCAAGATTTGTAAAAGTATTATCTATACAGGATTTTTTATTACCTTGTATGCGTGTATAGTCTTTGATGGAAGGTTTTATATCAAAGGAACTCAAAAACATTTTTAATGCGTCTGGCCACCTCGCACCCTCAAGCAGCATATCTAAGTTAAAATCACCAGCCAGAAAAATGATGGAGTCCTTGTCAACTCTTGTGGGTCTTCTGTTTGGTAGATGGATAAAATTACAATCTTCTTCTTATTAATTCGCACCTCTGCAGCGGAACACTCAAAAACGTTTTTTCTGATAAACTAGAAATATCTTCCCGCGCTTTTGCAATAAACGTGTCTTTGATGTATACCTCACTGCCACCATGCTCCTGTGAACTGCTTCTGCAATATGAAGAGATCAGTTTAAAATTCCGCACATTGTAGTCCTGCAGTTGTTCTTCTGTTTTCCAGTGCTCAGTTAAACAACGAGCAAAGCATTCATGATCTTGATCATGATCTTCTAGGATAAAATTAATGGCATCAATACTTGTTTTCATTAATTGCGTATTTAAGTGGATTACTGATAATTTCTTTTGGTGTGTGCCGTAGACTGTCTTTTGACACTGGGGTGCCTCTGTATATTCTGAAAATGGTTAAAAATTACACTATTCGGCCATAATTCTTGCTGCATTAAATGAGGTATTTTTAGTTCTGGAACAGTAATTTTAAATGAACTTTTGTACTTATCTGTCCGGGTTTTTATTTTTTTGCAGATAACATTTTCATCCAGTTTTATTTCTTTTGGATAGTTAAGTATTTCCTGGGCTTCCGTTTTCGGATCGAAACCTAACAGGAAAATCGCCATATGTTTTGTGGCTACACGCAGGATACTTCCAGCATTCTCATCAATTCCCTGGAGAGGATCTGGCCGTTCAATTAATGTTGGACGAGGTGTTTTGTAAAAACCTAAAAAAAAACGTGTTGAATGAATAATGCATTGACAGTTGTGATACCTCATAGGCAATTCTGAATTTGCAACTTGTAGTTATGATAATTGTGATAAGTGAAATTTTACTGACAAACAGACTAATACATAGATGTAAATAGACAAATGCATACTTAAAATTGTACATAAAAAGAGAATACCAACAAATAAAAAAAATTAAATGATGAGTACAGGATTAAGCACTGAATTTTATGTACTCGCCCAGCGAATAAAATGGGTTTCTAACAAAAACTTCTTTAGCCTACTCCTAAATATTCTATTGATATTTGAGTTTTTCAATTCGGAAGATAAAAGGTTATAGTAGAACCCTCCTGCATATAGTGGAGATTTCTTATATTGCATTCTGATTAACTTATTTAAATGTGTATTATATTTTGTTTTATTTGTTGTATTATAAAGTATATCAGGATAGTAGGGAAAAGGAAAATAGTATAATTGGGGTAGTAGATGTTCCTATTCATCTTTATGTATATATTTCATTATGCAATATTTGATAGAGTTGTATTTATAGGTCTGAAGGTAGAATCGTTCATTGGAGGATTACCATTAGTAGAAGATAAACAAAAGTGCCAAAACTGCAATATAGCTGTGGGTACACCAGGCAGAATAAAACATCTAATATTAGACAAGACACTTAACGTTAACTCTGTAAAGCTCTTTGTGCTAGATGAAGCTGATAAACTTATGGAAAGTAGTTTCCGTAATGACATAAACGAAATATACAACAGTCTGCCAACAAAGAAGCAAATTATCACCACTAGTGCCACTTATCCTAACCAGTTGGAAGAGTTCTTATCGAAATATATGTTATCGCCAACACATATAACAGCAGAACTAGAGAGCCCGCTTTTATTAGGCTTGAAGCAATTTGTGGTTGTCACGAAACAATATTCTAATGCAGCTCAACAACTCAAAGCTAAAACTGATGAAATGATTGATATATTCACCAACATTTCATTTACCCAATGCCTGGTTTTTTCTAATTTCCAAACAAAAGCTGAGAGTTTGAGTAACATTCTGAACCAAAAGAGATGGCCTTCTACATATATTTCTGCTGCACAAACTCAAGAACAACGATTGGAGGCTGTCAGTGTGCTGAAAGAATTTAAATGTAGGATTATGTTATCTACTGATTTAACTGCAAGAGGTAAGTCTTAATTTATGTTTTTAGTCCAGAAGACAAAGCTATTTGTCAAAAATGACCGATTTGCATAAAAATTTGGGATTATTTCCAATTTCCTCTCTACTTCAAAATCTATATTTTACCGACGGCCTCTTTTTATTTTTTAAGGGTGGAAACTACCTACCCTTTATTACCAAAATCTTTGTGATATTCTTAATATAAATTCTTAGTATTTTCACCCTTCAAAATTTATTATTTACTTAATGGTGGAAACTACCCCTTATGCTGAACTAACTATTTAATACACAAAATTAAACTATGTGTATAAATTATTGCAGCACATGGAGTGTGGTTAGATCTTCAAAAAATACTGGTGAGCTGCTTCAAAATGACAAAGGTACTTACTTACACAAGTAAATACATTAGCAGATATTTCAATTTTAACCTGGCGTTGCGGGCGTAGATTCGTCCCGTCGAAAATTTACCTATAAAAGCATACCAACAAACACGTAAATGTATGTATTCGTATGTTTTCCTTGGTTCCATGAGTCGAGTGTGAATGAATGTATGTGTGTACACAAGTTTCTAGCGTACAGAATACAAAAAAGCTTACTTACATTATGCTTATAATGGACCAAGAACAGTTGACTACATAGGATAGTTCCATCGCCCAATTTTGTCTGTCACTTTAACACGCGGCTGTGACGTAGGTGTGGGGATGACAAGCAATTATCGACCTTATTGTTACTATTAAGTTTTATGGAAGATGAGCCTAATTTGAGATTTAAAAGTTTAAAACGAAAAATTTACGTTTTGTTTTTGTAAATAGATGGCAGATAATAAGATTTTTAACAGTACCGAAGACATTCAGAGTTATAAATTCTTAATGATCTGTTTTACATGGCAAATAAAATGCCATGTAAACCACAAATTAATATCCAAAAACATTTGATGATAAATAAAACTATTCAATACTGAACTATTTATTTCATAAACATACATAGGTAAAACTAAACAGTATACAATACTAGGATACTTTAGAAACATTCCCAACCGAACAATTTTATTTAATTTTCTCATTTTTGACCTAGTTAAATCCAACACAGATAAGTTTTTTCGCTTCAAATTTTCAGCTTCCTTGGATTTTAAATTTCTATAATTTATTATTATTATTGTTCTAAGTTTACAAAAGTTTTTAATAAGAGTATATGGCAACACTTTTTCTTTTTTTAAAATCCTATTTGAAATGTTTCCAACAACTCCATTATTTTTCCTATAGGTATGAATATATTTTTCGTAATATTTATTCCATAATTTTATTTTTATGAACCACTCATCTGTAGGCTTGATAAGACCTCCATAAGAGAGTTGCTGCACCCATGATGGTAAACTATAACTATGTTCACTAACTTTGTATGTGAAATTACCTAAATCAGGCAAACTATCTTTAAATTTTTTTGCTAAATACCCAGCGATGTATTCTAAGGCATCTTCTGTAGTTTCCTGCAAATCATTGACAACACAATATGAGGTGGCAGACTGATTCGAAGATGATTCTTGGGAAGAGAAAGAACTGCTATTGTTACATTCATCAGGTTCTTCTATTTGTTCTTGAGGAATTTTAAGATTAGCTTTTTGGAATACTTTTGGACTAATATATTGATCCACACTTTGTTCAACTGTGTTAACAGCAGCATCAAACACACCAGGGTTTTTTCCTAGAAGTATCATTCGAATTCTGTGGAGTGCTGCTAATGGACTAGGATGTTCATCAGGACCACCTCGATGCCTAACTTGGAAAAAGAAATTTTCTAAAGAATCTTGATTGAGTCTATGTGTACATATATATTTAATATCAAAAGCTTGTTTCATATCAACAAATAACTTTTGTAAAGATTTCATTAATAACACCATTCCTTTTTGAAAAATTTGCAAAGTATTTTTACCAAGAGCTTTCATTGAAGATATTAAATTTATCATTTTGTTAAGATGTTCATTTTACATGTTCAAATGAATTCCATAAGCAATTTTAGAAGAAACTGTTCCTTGTGGTGTATAACTATTGAATATATCAAACCATAAATTTACATCAGCGATGAAATTACCCAAATTTTCGGCTAACTGTTCATTCCCAGGTTTATGTCTCTTAAGAGCTGTTGCAACAGTATTAGACAAAAGCTGAGCAGCGATTCGAACATTCTGTCTCTGAGATTTTTCACATTCAATGTGTTTTTATTAATTTTCCAACACTGATTAACCTCTTGGTCAGTAAAAGCAATTAAAGATTCTAAAGGCTTTTTGATAATAACAGTACCATCCTCTAATTGAAAACCAACATCTAGTAGCCAGTTTCGTAAGAGTTTTAATAAATGTGGGGCATCTGCAAACATATACACATTTTGATCAGTCTCAGGATGTTTGAAAAATGTTTTATCTACACTAACTCCAAGTTCTTTCCACAAACCAATATTTGAAGCACCACAATCACTAACACAAGCAACCACGTTATATGAAATGTTATGAAGTTGGTTAATTATTTCTATTAATATTCCAGCTGTCATTTTTTGGTCAAAATTGATATAAATGGGTTGTTTCCAAGAAGCAAAAAGACCTCTAATCATAACTACCTGCATTTGCTTGTGTGGACCCAAAATTCTATCTTTAGTGATGTCATACTCTTCAATAGATTTTATTTTCACTTCATCGAATTGCAGCACAACAGTCTTTTCCATAGTCGTAAAATTTTCCCCAGCCAATTTCATCATTAACAATATGTCTTTCAAAAGGCCTTCACTAACACTAATCTTGGAAGCCCACTTTCTTAAAGATGAGAGAGCAGGTAGAGGATATCGCAAAGGATTTTTTAAATAGAGGTAACTTTTCTTACTGTAACACCTCAGAGTAAAAGCTCTAGATATTTCTTCTGTATTCCAACGAACTTTCTTCTTTTTTTCAGAAAGAAGTGCAATTTGGTTTGTGGTTAACACTTCACTTAACAAATTTTCAGCAAAAATTTCAGATTTTTTTGATTTTTTCTGAACATTTATATTTTTTGCTTTAAAATACCTCAACTGACTTGTTAAACTTTTTATTTTCATTTGACTCTGTTTCTTCAAATTGGAATGATCAGCTATTAATTTTTCATACTTGCTTAATAATTCTTTGTATTTTGCTTCAAAATCTACTTCAGGCTTTAAATCTATATTGTCACCAGCTTGTTCAAAAATTACTTCAGATTCAGTAATTGTATGTTCATGTTGATTAGATGCAATATTTAAAATATTTGAATCAACCTTTGTAATTTCTGCTACAAGCTGCTTTCTGTTTCTAACATCTAATCTACATTCACGAGTAGAGATAGGTGTATCAAAGGTATGTTTATATAAACAAAGTGTTGGAACTGCAGTTTTCTTCAAAAGGCGTTTAGTAGGTAAACCTAAAATAAGTTATGTTAAAAAAATTTTATAGGCATTTATTTTTTCACCATTTTACCTAATAATTCATTTTGTAGATCTCTTTCATAGTCATTGTTTGTAAAATGAACAGAGCATATTCTACTAGAATCGGGATTAAAATTATCAGCTCTTCTGCATCGGTTAACCCATTCAGCTCTTATAGTTTTCGATACTAAATCCTTTCCTTTTGGAAAACTATGAAAAATAACAGGCACATTCTTGGTTTTCACACTCTTAAAATTATTATTACAACCATATATGACACATCTATTACTACCCATTTTGTTTATACAAGTAAACTGATATATAAACACTAATTAAATACTCTTATAAGGCCGTTAAATCGCTAATACAACAAAAAAATTGGCACCAGACACAACTATCCCATATAAAACAATAAGAAATGTCAACCACGAATCCCCACGCCTACGTCACACTCAACACAACGCATTTCTTACATTAGAGCATAGGACAAAATCAATCCTATCTGTGTTTAGTGTCCTTGATAATGGACTACCTATGCTCTGACGTCACAATGGGCGGGGGTTTTAAAAACTTTTCCAAACATTTCTAATTTGTTTATATTTGCCCCATAAAAAATGGTAAATATTGTTTTTTTTTTTCAATTGTTTGAAAATACATAAGGACTTTTGGTTATGAACATTCATTCTTTGCGATTGGTATTATTTGTTGTTTGTGAATTTGTGAGGTAAGAATTAAGATATTAACTATGAATGTTCATATTTGAAGTTTATGTTGTGGTTTGATTAAAACTTTAATTATTTTTTAATGTATGTCGAGATATTTTGTTGTTTTTTTATCAGGGATATTTCAAAATTAATCAATAAATGCCCTTTTCTTAAGCATTTTACCATCTATATGAAGATTATATGGAAAAATAATAAAGGAAAAAATAGAAAAACAAATCCAAAATAAAATAGAGGATGACCAGGCCGGTTTTACAGCTGGGAAATCATGTGTTGACCACATTTACACTATACAACAGCTAATAGAGAAGAAGATAGCAAAGAACAGACCAGTCAGCCTTTATTGACCCAAAAAAGGCATACGACTCTGTGCCCAGACAACGACTGCGGGAAGCCATGCAACAAATAGGAGTAGAAGATAAGCTGATCCAAGTAGTGAAGTACATGTACACACATAATAATGTTACTGCCAAGGTAGGTAACAAGTTTGGAAAACCATTTAAAACCACGAAAGGTCTCCTACAGGGCTGCTCGACTTCACCTACACTCTTTAAAATATTTCTTTAATACGCCCTAAAGCCATGGAAAAGGAGATGTGAGTGAATGGGAGTACCCATACGGAACGACCATGTGTATACCCTCAGTTTCGCCGACGATCAGGGTTTAGACTACTCATCGCATTTTTGCCATACCAATGTGCCTCTGAAGCCACACCAATGTGCCTGATTGAGTCAGGCCATTTGAGTATAATATGCTTCTTTGTGCAGTTTCATTCTGCGTATATGAAAAGTACACCTTTGTCGAGTATTATTGTCATGTACAACTTCTGTCAGTGATAGGGCAATATTTGTGTGCTTGAGAA